GGGTTGATGTAATTTTTACAATTATTACAGTATTGCAGTAGTCTGCATAACAGTAAATCTTCTATTTTTTGTTTGAATAAAATTTCAAAATAAAAAGCAAGAGTAATATCACAGGGACCTGGAGACATGACTGATGAACAAAGAAAATGTTATTTTAGAGCCAGGAATGTCTGCATTGTTCATTCTGGACCTTATTTTGAAATTGTCATATTTTATAATTTTCGTGAAATTGGCCAAATTGCAAATTTCTGACCATGTTATTGGGTAGTTGAAATCGGTAAATGGGCAGTTTCTTGTACTCAATCGATAGAAAAAATAGAGTTCTGAAGAAATAGTTATGAGTTTGGTTGACTGGAATAACGGAATTAGCCGAAAATAGGGCTCAAAGTGGGCGAAATTGCCGATTTTTAAATATCGCCGAAGTCGCTAACTTCGCGAGAGCGTAATTCCGTCAGTTTTCCATCAAATTTCGTTTTTTTGGTGTCTTTACAATCGGGAAAAGATTCTCTATCATTTCATAAGAAAAAATAATTTTTTTTTTTTCGAATATTTTGCGACACCAGAAGCAACTTCAGGATTTGGCCCTTCGACAGTCAAAGGGTTAAATATCGTATAAAACGTTAATATAGACATTTTGCTTAATCCATCTAAATGCACCCCATATTAGAATAAATTAGCATAAATATGAGATGTGACAGCCAGGTGACTTGTAGAACTTATGGTAGCCAGGCAACTTGTAGGACTTGTGGTAGCCAGGCAACTTGTAGGACTTGTGGTAGCCAGGCAACTTGTAGGACTTGTGGTAGCCAGGCAACTTGTAGGACTTGTGGTAGCCAGGCAACTTGTAGGACTTGTGGTAGGCAAGCAACTTGTAGGACTTGTGGTAGCCAAGCAACTTGTAGTACTTGCTGTAGCCAGGCAACTTGTAGGACTTGTGGTAGCCAGGCAACTTGTAATCCATCAGAGAAAATGTGTCACTATAATATTACTAGGAGTAACTAGAAAATTATTACTTTCGTATGCCTTCACTCAGGGTGTCATTTCTTCTCAAAATGGTATTACATTAGAATGGGAGTGTTTCTCTTTATTTACTCTACTGTATCAACGTGGAGACAACTTGTACACAATGTAATGTGACAAAAACCAAATGCATTCTCCTGGTTTGTTTACATTATGTGTGGGTGGGGTGGGGAGGGCTGCCCTTCCTCACTACCTATATTTCCCAACCAGACTTCATACAAATAAAGCTCACCTCTCACCCTATATTAATACTACAAATATTTTAGGGTAATTAATGAGTGTACTATATATGCATTTCATTGCTCTATGGAGCTTAATGTTATAGTAGGTATAAGTGGCCAGGCAGGATGCCATACCTCTTACACAACTTTCTACAAATAATTACTTTTCACCTCTCACCCTACATTAAGACCATTAAGACTACAAATATTTTAAGGTAAGTAATGCGTGTACTGTATGTGTATTTTATCGCTCTAGGGAGCTTTAAGCATTGTAGTATAATATATGTGGGTGGGGTGGCCAGGAGGGCTACCACACCTGACTTCTTGGAGTAAATACTACTCACCTTTTGCCCTACATTAAGACTACAAATATTTTGAGGTAAATAATGAGTATACTGTGTGTGTATTTTACTTTTTAATGCCTAGTTCTATTGCTAACTTAATATATGTTAGTGTAAATTTGTTGTCTGGTATTTATATGCATTTATAAATGGAAAAAATGGAGTTATGCTTTCCAGCAGTAGCCTGGAACCTAACCTACCAAATAAGTGGGGCCTTACTGTACTCTGCTATTCTTATAACACTTCTGCTTTGTAAAAATCTCTCATAAGCTACCTTTTTCTCTTTTATCACACCCTTTACTTCATCATTCCACCAATCACTCCTCTTTCCTCCTGCACCCACCCTCCTATAGTCAAAAACTTCAGTCCCACATTCTAATATTGCATTTTTAAAACTATTCCAACCCTCTTCAATCCCCACCCCCCACTACTCATAATTGCAGTAGCCCACCTTTCTGCCAATAGTTGCTTATATCTCACCCTAACTTCCTCCTCCCTTAGTTTATACACTTTCACCTCTCTCTTACTTGGTGTTGCCATTTTCCTTTTGTCCCATCTACCTCTTACTCTAACTTTAGCTACAACTAAATAATGATCCGATATATCAGTTGCCCCTCTATAAACTTGTACATCCTGTAGATTACTCATCAACCTTTTATCCATCAATACATAATCTAACAAACTACTTTCATTACGTGCTATATCATACCTTGAACACTTATTTATCCTCTTTTTCATAAAATATGTATTACTTATTACCAAACCTCTTTCTACACATAGCTCAATTAAAGGCTCCCCATTTTCATTTACCCCTGGCACCCCAAATTTACCTACTACTCTCTCCACAACATTTTTACCCATTTTAGCATTGAAATCCCCAACCACAAGTGCTCTCATACTTGGTTCAACACTTCCCATGTACTCACACAACATTTCTCAAAATCTCTCTCTCTCCTCTATACTTCTCTCTTTTCCAGGTGCATAAACACTTACTAGGTGCATAAACACTTACTATAACCCACTTTTCACATCCAACCCTTATTTTACTCCACATATGTAAATATATAATAGAACATTAATAATATATAGTGGTCCCTCGTTTTTCGTAATTAATCCGTTCCTGGAGCCGTTACTATAAACGAAATTTACGATTTGCGAGTCAATTTTCCCCATAAGAAATAATGTAAATACAATTAATCCGTTCCTGACACCCAGAAGTATTAAAACAAAAAAATTTTTTACATGAAATATACATAAACAATACAATGGGAAATGATGAATGAAACTTTAACAGCATAACACTTACCTTTATTGGAGATTCTTCTTAGTGTATGGGAGACTGGAAGAGCAGAGAGATTGGATTGTTTGCACTTTACAGTTTGGAAGGGGAATCCCCTTCCAGCAACACCTCATGTACCAATTGCTTCTCTGGGGTTGCTTCTCTTCTCTGTTTCTTAATGCCACTAGGACCACCTTGAGAGTCACTGGAGTCCTGTCTCGCAAAGTAACTGTGGAGAGAGCTCTGTTTCTGGCGTCTCTTTAACACTTCCCGAAAATGGCCCAAGACTTTGTCACTGTACATATTTCTCACCTTCTTTACCACAAGCTTGGCACTAGGAGCTTTCTTTGGAGCCATGGTAGCTTATTTAGTAATTGCAAGCACTAAAATGAGTGGAATATTATGAAATATTTCGTAGGAGCACTTGAGGGGACCTTCACTCACTGGTAAACAATGCCAGACTGGCTGGGTAGGGAGGCCGCCCCGGCTCACACCGTGTGTACGTGTCCCGGACGAACTACTATTCGCAAGTCAACCTATGAAAAGCGAGTCCATGTTTATACGAAAATACCCCTATGATTGGTGAAATTTACGATTGCCGAGAACTACGAAAAGCGAGGGACCACTGTACAACAATTTTGCATGTTGTAAACAAAATAATGATGAAAATATTAGTGCGGTTATTGTGTTGAATACAACAAGCATACATATATACATTATGCATTATACTGGTCACACAGGCCACAAATGTTACTGGAAAAAAACAAAATAAAAAAAGAAAAAAGGAACATGCTGCATGCTCGTGGCACCACCACCACCACCTACTGACGCATGTGGTCTATGACTCAAGAAATCGTAATGACACGATTGCAAACAAACCATACCCCCGGCCGGGATTGAACCCGCGGGCTGGAGTTTTGAGACTCTATGACCGCGGGTTCAATCTCGGCCGGGGGTATGGCATGTGGTCTATCCATCCCAATTGTAGTCACATCATTGTCACTTTCACTGTCTATTCCAGGTGTAGGGCCACGAGATGTACTCAGTCCACTTGGAATTGCATATGGTATAGGGTACCATATGGTACAGATACAGGGACCCCAATGGAAATAAGTCACTCTGAGTTTTTTGGGTTATCCTAGGATCTTCATGCATATGCTGCTATGTATGATAATCTATGTAACTGTATTTGTGTATACCTGAATACACTTACTCGAGCACATGTGGCATTGTAAGCTTATTCAGGTATATACAAATACAGTTACACAAATTGTCATACATAGCACCATATGTGTGGAGAACCTAGGATAACCCAAAAAAAGTCGGACAAAGTGACTTATTTCCATTAGGGTCCCTGTACCCTATACCATATGGTACAATGTACCATATGGTACCATTGTACGATATAGTACCACTGTATGATATAGTACCATTGTACCATATGGTACAATGGTACTATATGGTACCATTGCACCATATGGTACAATACAATACAGTTCAAAACCATAGAATTCCTCATCAGATCCACTTTCATCAGTATCAGAACTATAACTTGGGAAGAGGAGAGTCCCAATTTGCCAGGGAGTGAGAGCTTCCTTGCCGCAAGGCATGATGAACAAAGCGTACTGAGATGGCGTTCCCACAATGCAATGCGGATGCCCCAATTTTTTTTTTACTGCCCACACTGACAATGCAGACCCATTCTTTTAGATGTAGGCCTACCAGCCTTCTCACGCTAAATTTGAAGCCACTAGAATTTTGGAGTAGATCTACGGCTTGGACCCTGGCTTCAAAGCCGGAGATCTATGGGACAGATCCTGAATGGGTTAAGCTGAATTATCTGGAGATTGTCACGATTTATTCACTTAAAGTTAAGATGAATGAGGGTTCATATCCAGATCAGTAAATATTTAATCAATAAAATAAAAAATTTTTGTTGATTGAAGCATTTACTACAAGGATCAGGACAAGGTTGAATTGCAGGTTGTCACATAGGAAGATTAATGTTGCTTGAAAGATACTGTACTATCATAGGAAGATTAATGTTGCTTGAAAGATACTGTACTATCATAGTATTATCACTGACTTACTAAGGCATGGCTTGTCTCTTATCATTTCAATAATAAACTTGTGACTCACTTGAGTTTTTGTAAAAGTGTTTCTGATGTCGTGCGAACTTTGACAGAGAGTGAATGAATTGTTGATATGACTAAATTGTCTAAAGCTTCCATCTTGGCTTTAGATCTTCCTGAGACAATGCCTCGAGTGCTGCCAAGAGGTGACCTTTTTCCCTCACTGCCGGATTCATCCAAAGATGCCTGTAAGTAAATTTTTTCTTTAGCGTAATAGTAGTACTTTATTTTAGCATGATACATTGTACAGAGGTGCATGACATTTGAATGTACATGCAAAAGGCTCCTATACACATGCAGAGTATTTCGGGCAAACTTAACACTAACTTATAATGAATAAGCCAATAATAATACGAATAATTTTATACATACAGTCACTTAGGTGAGTGTAAGTATAAATTTAGGAGTTTACAATGAATAATGAAAGTTCATATCCTCATAAATTGTTCAATATTTCATAATAAGCACATATTCAATAAGCACATAATCTTTTCACGTCTAATAACATAATCTAATAGTAGACCCTTATATAACAGGATAGTTACATTTCAGAAAATGATGTCTCATGCAAAATCATGCTATGTAAATTGAAGAACATATTGGAAAACAGGGTTACATTCCACAGTGGTCCTTCAAAATGCTAAACAATATTTTTTATCTCATATAATTCTAAAAAAGTAGGTAGTAGGTTGGTAGACAGCAACCGCCCAGAGAGGTACTACTGTCCTGCCAAGTGAGTGTAAAACAAAAACCTGTAATTGTTTTACATGATGGTAGGATTGCTGGTGTCTTTTTACTGTCTCTTAAACATGCACGATTTCAGGTACGTCTTGCTACTTCTACTTACACTTAAGTCACACTACACATACATGTACAAGCATATATATACACACACCCCTCTGGGTTTTCTTCTATTTTCTTTCTAGTTCTTGTTCTTGTTTATTTCCTCTTATCTCCATGGGGAAGTGGAACAGAATTGTTCCTCCGTAAGCCATGCGTGTTGTAAGAGGCGACTAAAACACCGGGAGCAAGGGCCTAGTAACCCCTTCTCCTGTATAAATTACTAAATTTAAAAAGAGAAACTTTCGTTTTTCTTTTTGGGCCGCCCTGCCTTGGTGGGATACGGCCAGTTTGTTGGAAAAAAAAAAATTCTAAAAAAAAAAAAAAAAAAATTACTGATTCTGTCATCATTGAAAGTGCTTGACTCACAGAATCACTAGCAACCGCTAGTGCCCCAAACGTAAATATACGTTTTATTTTTCCTGCCTCCAAATTTGGCAGGTTTGGCCTGAGATGCCTGGTCAGCATAGAATGGGTCTTAACACTCGGTGTGCACCATATTAAAAAAATCTGAGACCACTTAGTACCTTGTGGGAGCACCAGTTATATTGAGCACCAGCTGGAGCAAACAGTGGGGCAAACACCAAGGATTCACTGATATAATGTCATATTAACACTCCCCTTTTAAGAGGAATGTGATGTTAACCCCAGGTTTAAGGTCTGTCTATCTGTCTCTGTCTATTTCTGTCTGTCTATCTCTGTCTCTGTCTATCTGTCTGTCTATATGTCTCTGTCTATCTGTCTCTATCTGTCTCTGTCTATCTGCCTCTGTCTATCTGCCTCTGTCTATCTGCCTCTGTCTATCTGTCTCTGTCTATCTGTCTCTGTCTATCTGTCTCTGTCTATCTGTCTCTGTCTGTCTCTGTCTATCTGTCTCTGTCTATCTGTCTCTGTCTATCTGTCTCTGTCTATCTGCCTCTGTCTGTCTCACAGGTACACACAAATACAATTATACATAGTGTAAATTACCTAGGATAACCTAAAAAATCCAAAGTGCTATACTATGCTTGTAGATATAATGCATAAGAGTACCTGTGGCTCTCTCTAAGACAAAGAGACAAGCAGAGAGACAGAAAGAGACAAGCAGACAGAGAAATAAGACAGAGAGACAGATAATCAGAGATACGAGCTCATCAAATTTTATCCCTTATCTCTGCATCCTTGCTGGCACCCATCAAATGACATAGCTTATCTCCTCTTATCACTGCACTATCTCCTCTTATCTCTGCACCCTCGCTGGAGCCCATCAAATACCATCTCATATCTGATCTTATCACTGCCCTCCCGGATGCTTGTCACTGAACACTTGTCTTACAAATTGCTTCAAGGGAATTTCTTCCTTCTTCCTCCTCCTTCTTCCTTCTTCTTCTTCTATACTCCCATGTATCCAAAACATTGCTGGGACCTATAAATACTTTGTACATATCCCTTGACAATAGTAAATGACCAAGGCAGGTGTAAATGTCCACCTGTCAATGTGTTTGTGACAATCTAAGTACAATTTCACTACTTAATATTAGTGTCAGAACAAAGACTGGTTATGAAATGACAAGAACTACAATAAATTGTAATTATCAGAACATAAAAATTATGTAAAATATAAAAATGAGAAAAAATGGCATACTGGCAACACTTCTGCAAGTGGCAGAACTCTATGTTACCATCAGGTGAGCATTAGTGCCAACTTTGCAGCCTCATATCTCAGTAAGTACTGACCCTATTTTTTTTATTTTCATCCTATAACACTTAGAAAAATGTGCTCTTTATTTTCATTAAAAAAATTATTTTTTATTTTTCAAAATATTCGGGGCACTGGGATAGTGAACATATATATACGTTTGGACCGTTTACGGGTTAAACAACAAAGAAGTATTCAAGGGCAGGTTGAGTGTTCTAGCATCCTGGAATGAATTACCACAGAACCATGTAATATGGGGTTTCATTCTTGATAGTTTTTAAGGTATGATACATCTTCTAGAAGGGAGGGCGGGGTAGGGGTCGGCCAAGGAAGGGTTGGAGGGAGGTGGTAAAGGAGGTTTTGTGTGCGAGGGCCTTGGACTTCCAGCAAGCATGCGTGAGCGTATTTGATAGGAGTGAATGGAGACAAATGGTTTATAATACTTGACGTGCTGTTGGGGTGTGAGCAAAGTAACATTTATGAAGGGATTCAGGGAAACTGGCAGGCTGGACTTGAGTCCTGGAGATGGGAAGTACAGTGCCTGCACTCTGAAGGAGGGGTATTAATGTTGCAGTTTTATAACTGTAGTGTAAAGCACCCCTCTGGCAAGACAGTGATGGAGTGAATGGTGATGAAAGTTTTTCTTTTTCGGGCCACCCTCCCTTGGTGGGAATTGGCCAATGTGTTAATAAAATAAAATAACATCTTCTAGAATGGATTAATACTGTAATTCAATGGGCCATTGTAATATGGCTTCTCTCTTATACATTGACTATAATAGCCATTATACGGCAAGCACTCCTTGATATTTTTTAACACATCAGCCATCTCCCACTGAGGCAGGGCTACCCAAGAAGGAAGAAACACTTTTATCATCACTCATTCCATCACTCACTTGCCAGAAGCATGCTGATACTACAGTTCAAAACTACAACATAATCTCTACCCTCCTTAATGGATATATTATCTCTACCCTACCTTTCTGGTTGGGGAGCCCATATGGCCTTCACCTTCATCTGAGAGGGCATATGATGCTCTTCGACCACGTGTTGAGGTTAATGCTGTGTGATGTGCAGGAGAGGTGGTGTGTGGCGATGACAAATGGTGTGGAGAAGTTGGAGATCTTTGTAGTGGAGAGCAGTGCGGTACAGGATGAGATTGCTGAAATGTTTTTTTAATATTATTTACAATGAAATCACTTGTTCATTAAGAATGAATGAGAAATGAAATTTCGATCAACATTATGAGCTGCTTTTAACCAGCAGCAGCTCCAGAATTGTTATACTGAAGGGGTTTCTGGGTGGCTGTCTGGTTTCAAGAAGGGCTAAGGGACTGCATCTGCAAAGGAAGCACTGTTTTTGCCTAGTGTATAATACAAATTAGTAAAAACAATTATCCATATCAGAGAATAAGAACAATTATTCAAGGAGTATTTTGTCCAGTCTCCAGACAAACTCTCATCCGCCGACGATACCACTACATGAATGACATTTTATTCGCTCTGGAATATATATCAGGTTTCTATGTTATTTATATTTTTATTATGTCATATTAGATGAATTGTGATAGATAAATGAGCTGTAAGAATGATATTAGGGAAATTATTGAAGTATTTTCTCATGCCTGGAATTCCCCTGTAACGGATTAATTGCATTTAAAATTACAAAATTTTTAAATGGGGAAAAAACTGACTCTGCAAACGAAAAAATCCGGGAGAAAGGGCACGGAACGATTTAAACTTGTAGTGAAAGGTTCCACTGTAAGCATATCAACGTACGGCTTTTTTATTACAAAATTGTTTTAAAATAGAAAAAAAACAATAAAAAAAAGAAACATGAATAAAACCTGAATGAATAAATTTTGTCATTGTGAAAAGGGGTGGGGGGCCCTCCCAAGGTAAAAATAATTATCGCTTGCCCATATCACCCCTTTTTTTCCCCTTCTGAGGTCTTTTATAAAAAAAACATTTGTGTTTGTAAAGCTAACTGCATAGATCGCTATTTTTTAAAAGGATACACTGAAAAAGACATTTTTTTGGGGTTTTTTTCTATGATTTCATTTTTTAAATTAAAGGGAACCCTCTTTTCTTCTCAGCACTGTTTGCATTTACTTTTTGGGACCCATGATTAGAAAAAAATTTGGCAAAAAAACTGCAAAAAAACCCAAAAAACGCTGGGTGTGGGCAGTGTGGGCATTCGCTGTGCAACTAGGGGGGTGTAAAAGCTCACTGTAACTTGGTTTTGGCTCGCAATCAAAAAAAAAAATCACCAAAGTGATAGCTCGAATCAAAAAAGTCGAAATTGGGGCATTGTAAGTAAAGGTACCACGTACGTGATATAGTAGAGTATCATCAACTGGAATTGGTCAAAAATGGGTGAAAGGTTGGGGGGAAATTCCCTTGCCAAATCACCAAGCTTCTATTTTGCGAGGCGAAACTCTGTAAATTTTTTCCATAAATTTTTGTACTTTTTTTCTTTCCCTTTTCTATCATTTCATAAGTTTTAAAAAAAAAAAAATTTAAAGGCCCTGAGAGAAGTTTGAGATTAGGGGTCTCAATTTGAAAGATTTAAAGCAACAAATGATTTCTGCTGGCACACATTTTAAATCATGGAAAAAAGAGGATTTGTTTTTTGGAGGGGACTTTCAGCAAAAAGGGTCTATAAAAGACGGGTGTATCATGAATTGAGAGGGAAACAAGGGAGTGGTGACTGGGGGCCAGGAAGCAAAAAAATGTATGGGATTAGTGGTCCCAAAGCCTTTTATATGGTTAAAGCTGGTGGTGAATGATGAAACAAGAAGAAGGCTGGACAGTAGAGATTGGTGTTGGGGGCAAGTCGTGTGAATGTTTAGGAGGTGGTGGGGGGGGTTTCTAAAAGTATTATCAAGGGGAGGGGGGTTTTTGAGGTGGTTCAGACTTTAAAAAGACTGGAAAAATAGAATAAAAGGGGAGGGTGTTTTATTGAGTGGGAAGGAAAGGGGGGGTAGGGGGATCCTTTCCAAGGTTGGAGGGGGGGGTAAAGGGGTTTTTGTGTGAGGGGTTGGACTTTCCCAAAAAGATGTGTGTGAGTTGTCAGATGGGGGTTGAACAACCGGTTTTATGACTTGAAGGGTTTGTGGAAAAGGTAATTTTGAAGGGGTTCAGGGAAACTGGCTAACCAATTTAGTCCCGGAGGTGGAAAGTACAGTGCCTGTGCCTGAAGGGTGTAATTTGTTGGTTTTTTAACGTAGACAGGCCCACCCCGGGAAGACAGTGATGGAGTGAATGCTGATGGAAAAGTTTCTTTTTTACGGGTCACCCCGCCTTGGGGGGAAAAAGCCAATGTGTTAATAAAAAAAAAAAAGAAAATAAAAAATTTTCAAAAGATACCATCAAATTAAAAAACAAAACCTCTGAACAGCATAAAATACCTCACATCACAAGAATTATGATAATAAATTCACCAACTAAAGTTTATGCAGGTAATGGGAGGGCCCTTTATATTTTAAAAGCAAAAATAATTTACTAGAGGAAACAACAGAAAGATGTAATTTTTGCAACACACTTTGAAAAATACCTCTGATGAGTTCTTAGGGGGTTTTTTTATCCCCCGGGTCATTGGTGTTTGCCGGCCAACGTTGTTTTTGGGGTGACCCCGGCTCAGTCCATCACACTGGTTTATCTGGACCGGTGAAAAAACTTGTCCAGTTTCCCCCTGAAGACTTTTTAACTAGTCCAGAGTTTTCCCAAAACTTTGGGAAGATGCTGAATGGGGGGTGCCCCCTACCTTCATTGGGCTTATTTTTCATTTTCCCCTATATACTCCCCAGAGTTTTATAGCAGTGTGCAGATTTTAGAGAGGGCCCCAAGTACTTTTATTAATATATATTAAAGCATCTTTCTCTCCCCCACCCAGTGGTACAATTTTTAAAATTTAAGGAAACCCCCGTAATTTAAATCTTTATTTGCTCTGTCAAAAAGTAAACAGACACTGCAGGTCAACTCAAGCGGGGGGCAATGAATGAGGCAAGTTTTGCCCAACCTCAAGTACACTCAACCACAGTAATGGAAAAACACCCACTTATTGCTGAAAAAATTAAAGGTCTCCCCACATTCGCGAGGGTTAGGGGATCAAGACCCCGCGAATGTTTAAAAAAATTTTGAAAGTTTGGTGACCCCTATATTGAGGGAATATAATACAAAACTGATTCCCTTTAAACCCATTGAACCAGAAAAATCATAAAAACACGAAAAACTCGTAAAATTTTTGTTTTCTGGTGCAGCCTTGGTAAAAATGAAAAAACCATAGAACAAGGAAAAAAACTGTAGCAGAGTTCCAAAGTGGAGGAAGAAGAGAGAGGGGAGAATGTGCCTTCTTCAGTGATTTAGTGATTCTACGATATGTACAATACTAAAGCAGCATAAATCGATAAAGGCTATTGGGCCAGCCAGCGATAAAGTATAGCATTAACCCTTTCAGGGTCGAGAGGCCCTCTCCTAACTTGTTCTCAGGGTCGAAAATTTTTCAGGAAAAAAAATTCTTTTTTCTTATGAAAGATAGAGAATCTTTTCCTGATGATAATGACACCAAAAGTATGAAATTTGATGGAAAACTTACGGAATTATGCTCTCGCGAAGTTAGCAGTCTCGACGATGTTTACGCATCAGCGATTTTGCCCACTTTGAGCCCTATTTCGGCCAATTCCAGTGTATAGTCGACAAAAATCATATACTATTTCACTAGAACTCTATTTTTTTCTATCAAATGTGTACAAGAAACCACCCATTTACCGATTTCAACTATCCAATAAATGGTCAGAAACTAGCAATTTTGCCAATTTCACACAAATTTCAAAAGATGCCAATTTCCAAATAGGTCCAGAATAAACAAGAAAGGCATTCCTGGCACTAAAATACATTTCCTCTATTCATTAGTCACATCCCCACACCCCTCTTACATTTCTTTTGCTTTCCACTTTGAGTTTTTATTCTTACAAAAAATAGAAGATTTACTGTTATGCAGACCACTGCATTAGTGTAGAAATGGTATAAATAATATCAGCGCACTTGTGAAAGAATATTAGACTCACCAGTTGATGTGTATTGGATGCGTAGCATGATTTGTTTACTTCTGACCTTTGGCAAAAATCGAACATTTCTGCTATTTTGGGCTCAATTTCAAGGTACTTTTCTTTGTGAAACCAATCAAAATCGTCTCAATTTCTGTAATATGTCTTCCATTCTATAAAATGAGACTAGGAAAACTAGAATACAATCATAAATACCATATGAAAATACAGTGCAAAGTCGATGTTTTAAACCAAAAACACTGTCAAAGTTTTTTTTTCTCATTACACACTGTTTGCTGCAGGATTTTTTTTATACTGCGCACACTGACCACATAGACCCATTCTTTCTATGTAGGCCTACCAGCTTTCTCTCACTAGATCTGAGGGCACTAGAATTTAGGCGTCCTAGTATGTCAATAACCATGGTGCGTAAGCCATACTAGTATGTCAGAAACCCTGAAAGGGTTAACAGTGTAGCAAGTAAGTTTAGCGATTAATTGATAGAAAAAGGACAGCACGATCCTAACTCCTCCAATGTTGTTGGAGTTATACAGGGCAACTGACAACACTGCCGTCTCTAGTCTCTACTGCCTCCGATGCCCCCTCAACCACCACAATGTACGGCTTATGTCTCAGTGGCCCTTATACACCCAACAACAACAACACAGCAATACTCGTGACATACTTATTGACGTATTTTATTCATTCTAGAGTATATGTCATTTTTCTTTGTTATTAATATTGTTTATTATGTCATTTTAGAGAACCGGATAGATAAATAAGGCAGAGTTGATATTAGTGTATATCGAAAGACTATCGTACCCTATCTCCAAAAAAAACTCTGCCACTCCCACAATTCATAAGATTGACTTTTTTAAAATATGATTGGGGGGCTGGGAATTTGTGAATGTTCGCCCCCGCGAAAGTGGAAAAGCGAATGTTGGGGGGAACCTGTACAGTTTTGCTGTATCCCGGGCCCCCAGCAGAATTCACTTAAAAATGAACAATTAATAAATGGGCAATGTAGTAAATTCTACAAAAGCATACTCAAAAGCACCCTTTCCCTAAGTATGGCCCCATTCAATCCTAAACTCCCAATATCTTGGGCCCCCCATCAAAAAGGGAAAAGAGATACTCATTTTAC